TGAAACACGTTTAAATCCGAGACGAAAAGTCAAAACGGCTATTTCCCTAAGACAATGACTCCTTGAGTAGCTTCCAAAGAGTGAAACATTGAGGGATGAAAACCTACGATTAGTAACGATAATTCACAAACGTTATCTTTGTATCTTCTGATTCATACCCTTGAAATACTCAAACTTATTGTGTTGATCACACTCTTGAAACATCCCACTTGACCAATCTTGAAAAGATTGAATTCCATTACTGGTATCAAGATATTGAACCATGAAAAATTTGTCTTAACTCACAATTTAATCCCCAAGGTGATTTTTGATACCGATCTTCGAAAACTATACTCTGTGAACTACGTGACTCGATCACAATAATGAGTGTACCCTGACTTGAACATTATGTCAAACCTTTCTTTGTGAACTACAAAACGGTTGATGCGATTGCGTTATCTATGAAGGATATTACCGATGATCTCTTTGACCAAACAAACTCTATCATGATGTTGGTGTAAGAACTCGTATGATTCCTCATTCTATGAATTCATGAATTGAATCACGTACTGAAGATATTATCTTTTTCCTCAAAACGAGATCAGCCATTGTGCTACAATCGAATCGGTCGCTATCATATCTAGATATGTTTTCAAATTAATGATAGAAAATTTGAATACGACAAGACGTACACGAGACGATACTCGAACATTATCATGTATAAATAGGAATTGGTACATAGACTCATTAACGATAATGAGAACTACTACGAAGATGAACGAAAGTTATTTCAACAAGAGATCGATAACGGCAAACTACTGTACAACCAATTGATAGTACTTCCTCGTAAATGATGACAAAATCCATATCTTGAAAATCTTGGACCACTAAAGCCATTGATGTACTTATGAATCATTGTTGAACTATGTGAATGAGATGAAGATGACTCAAGTAACTTGAAAAAGTTATGCTATGACGTATGAATTAAACAACCTCGAAATATTCCACTACATCTCTCGCGAACTTGAAACTGCAAATGCTACCAAAGGACTTTCGATCGAAGAAAGAATATCGTTAATCGACGTTGTACAATAGAGAATTGTGAATGAAAGAAGTGATGTGCAAATATGTCAAGTATGCTCTAGAATATGATGTTATACCCTGCAAAGAACTCTTGGTTATGGATGTTGAATCTGAACGGGAACCTGCAAAAAGGATCGTTGGATACCTTGCTTAATCTAAGATTATTAACCTCTTGAAGAAAGAACAAGTCTGATAACATTGACAGTTTGAGAATACTTATCTGTATGGATAATGACGAAATTATGGTTTAACCAAATAAACATGTCACGGTCATGATTAAGTATCATCACTACGGAATTTTTAACATTGAGCCTTAGAAGAATTTCGAGGACGAAATTCCTTTTAAGGGGGAAGAAATGTAACACCCCAAAGTATAGCCTAGAATTATTAATGAATAAGTATTCAATTAATCAAATTGTTTTGATTAAAATAAATTGTTGTTGGGCTTTGGGCCGATACGAAATTTGTTTTGACATCTAATACTAAAATCTAGATAACTCTCATAGAGATAAATTCAAAAATGTTGACTAATTGTGTAATCTTGATTGGGAACCTGTGTCCAGGCCCAAATTAAGAATAAATGAAGAAATTGTTTATGATGTAAACTTTGAAATGATTTATCATGAAAATAAATAATATGAATGGAATGCTAGAACCTTTTTGAGTAAAGGCCAATTAAACCAATTTTGACTCTGTTAAAGTCAAACACCCAAAAATATGATGTCGGAAAAAGTATTACAAATAAATATAAAAATTATATCGTTAGATAGAGTTTAACTGCCCGATCGCAACGGTGCAAACGGAATTCAATTCGGAGAAAGTTGGACCAAAAAGTGTACCCCGACTGGAACCAAAATTGGTCCCAATCAGGGACACTGTGCGAACGGCGCCTCC